GCTTTGTCATGTAAATCTTCTAAGGAATAGAATGGTTACATGGGATATTATTTTGTGGTGGTGTTATTGTTTATACGCAGTTTTAATTTCATTTTGGTCAAGGAAATGAAGATACTTATTTAAGATAGGATTTTCAGTACTCGTCTTCTATTTAATCAGCATTTTCTGGCATGTAAAGGAAGTGATTCAGGGAACCTTGTGAGGAATTAACACAATTTAATTGCTGGACATGAAGAATGAAGTATTTCCAAGCAAGTGAAATGGAAATGAGGAAAGACAGAGAATCAGGAGACTTGCAGAATATAAATGTCTATTGAATATAAAAGTTAAAATGTCGTTTATGTAGAAATTCATAATAATATGCTATTGTTTTAAACATGGGAAAACAAAATGTTGAAAAGATGCATATATATATGATTCAACTCAATTTTAATCAGACTCCTAATGGGAATATTCTGAGTGTGACTGAATATGGAGGGCAAATAGTACACTTAATTAAATAATATAATCTGGAAAAAATGGGCGAAAATTTCCCACATATACTTGTGCAGAAAAGAAGATATTGATGAATGTTTGAGAAAGGAAAATGAAGAGTAGAATCTAGCTCTACCATGGATTTGAACATACTATGAAACAACAGTGATTAAAACTAACACACACACGCTAAGTTCATGTGATAATGCACGTGAAAACGACCTCACACAATGCCAGTCACATCATACTGGCAGTCTGAACAAAAGTTCCATTTTAAATATGTGGATCGATGTAACTAAATGGTGAGCCCAGAAATAGACATATTATAATAGAACATAATAAATCTAGCTTATAGAAAGATGTGTGAGGAAGGAAAACTTAGTAAATAGTATTATGGATTATTTGGAATTGGTCAGAACTATTTGATTACATACCTTATGCTATGGATCTAAATATATGCCAGATATGTTAAATGGTTAAAACAAATTTACAGGAAAAAAGCATAAAATTTAATGTATATTACATAAAGGGTCATTTAAGTTCATAAGAAAAACTAGGACCTAAAGGTAGTCAAATTATATGAGTAGATACATTTTATATTAGAGGTGAAAGACAATAAAATAACTTTTAAATGAGAGAATAATTATAATTATGGTCACCATTAAAATAAAAATGACACCCTTAAGTATCATATTACATAAAATAAGCCTTTGAAAAAAAATTTCAATTACATGCAATGGTGAGGAAGTTTGGTGAAAGTAGAATGCACATCTATTGCTGGTGGCTTTGTAGATAATTTCAATCTCTTGAAATCAATGTGGCCATAAATATGAAGTCCGCTATAAACATATTTTTGCCTTTCAATTTGATAATCCTATTTTTGATAATATTCTCAGAAAAAACAGTATTTGTGGTATTGAAAATAAGTGAGAACATTTGAAATGTTGCTACATATAAGAATGATGAAGGAAATAACTTTATGTTCACTTTATGGAATATCATATGGATAGTAAAAATGAAAACTGAATCTCATGGAAATAATATACTTATGAAATGTTAAATTAAAACATCAGAATACACAATTATATCTGCATTATGAGGATATCTCTGTGAAAATATGCTTACATGGGGACAAATAATAGATTAAAATTTTAAAAAATGAAAAGAATTGTGTTTGGGTGATGAGATAAATGGTGTCTTTCTGGTTAAAAATGTCATCAGTGTTTATAAGGAAAAATAATAAGTGTTTATAAGGAAAAATAATGTTTGTATAAATAACTAAGGATAGCTGTACTAATTAGCCAACAAGAGGAGGGCTTTTCAAGTGTCACTTTGAAACCCTGCAAAATATGTCAAGATGTCTTGGGCATATAACTGCGTCAGGGTATTCTTGGTTTCCCTATTTTAATTGGCCACTTCTTCACTGAGTTTGTGAAGAGACGAGTTGATTGTAACCATGATGAAGGGGGTACTTTGGAGCCTGTGTTATTTGAAGCCTGTTCTCTCTCACTCTGAACTCATTACTGTCCCCTTTTCCTTCCCATGCCAAGCTGATAAGCAGGTTTAACATAGTTGGTGTTCAGTAAACTCCTGCTAGCTATGATTGAATTTTTGCCTATGAGAGGCACAGTGGCTCTACGATGCAAAGGGGAAAACAGTAGAATGGTACAGGAAAACTGCTTCTAGTTGCGTGACCTTGTACAGGTGACCTTCTGGGCTTCAGTTTCGTTGTCAATGAAAGGAGAGTGTTTGATAACTATTAAGAGTTATTTACATCTATAGAGACATTATGATTCACAGGCTTACTGCAGAGTGTGGTTTGCTACTCTAGAGCGCTCCTGGAAAAGCTCATTTACTGTGATTAGTATTGCAACAGTATGGTCAATTTAACTGCTCCCTTGGAGTGTCCTGGTGAACTCAGTGAGCATGGTTCCTGTGTACTACTCCCGGTAGACCACTCAGCTAGAGAAAGTCACTCAAGCCCAGCATTGTGTGTACATCTGATTTATTACATGCAAATAACTGAAACAAACCAATTGGTGACAAGCATGATCAAATATTAGCTAATGATAAATTGCTCCATTGTTTAGACCATGTAACATATAACTGAAATACAAAGGTCAGATGTATTTAGATTTTCTGGTAGAGCCAAAAAACATTAAGAGTCCCTCCCCCAACCCCCAATCCCTGCCCAGGTTGGTAAGGCAGGCAATAAAAATAAATTAAAGGTAAGGAAGTTTAGATTCAATGACTTTCATTAAGTTATAAAATTATTTAAGGTGTTGCACTGCTGTGTGGTGTAGCGATTGTAGGCCATTTACCATCGTGTGTTTATTTTCCTTTCATTATATGTGGTTATTTTTAAGGAAGTGAACATTTCTAAATAAATGTTATATTGTGGTTTGTTCGCGAGGCTTACCTGTTGTACAGGCAACAGATCTGCTGCTTCTGTGCTTGTCAGTAGCAGTCATTTAGCTGAATCATCCATATGGGTGACTAATATATTTTGTACTTAGTGCTTTTGAACTTTGATATGAGGTGCCCATTACTACCACTTTTAGGTACTCTATGGGAACACTGAAAAATTCCTAAGTAGTTTGAAGTCACTGATCACTTAGACAACCAATTAGAAATGAGAGCATAGTTGCTGCAATACAGGTGAAAAACCTTTTAACATATTACTTAATGACTGGTTATCTTTAGGAAATATAAGACCTCTTATGAGGCAACAGTTACATAATTTTAGAAAACAATAACCTACCTAAGAAATGAAGAGGGGCTGAAAAAGACTTTTGTGTAAGTCAGTTTTACATTGTACATTGAGAAATCAATGAGAAAGGATTTTTAAGAATCTTGAAGTTTGTCCTGCATCTTGAAGGGAGTACCCTACCTCTTTCTTGGAAAGTGACTAACAGAAAGAAAAGTTATGCTAGCTGCTGCACAAAACCATCCTGGGAAGTATTCAGAAGTGATATTATGAAGCTGGCTACTAAATATTATTTGAGAGCGGCTTTGTAAGTTTTGCATAAAATGCTACGAAAAGTACAGAAATATTTTCACCGCTCTAGATATTCAAATGCAAAAAATGTGTGTGTTGAATCAGTTTACAGTTCATTGTTTAGGTGATTGTATTTGTTGATACAGTATAATTTTAAGTAACCAAACCATTTGACATTTGTCTCATCATGTTTATGGCAAGAACCCTGGAATAAAGACTTTTTTATCTCTGTTAATGAAGAAGTCTTTTGAGACCACATCCAGATGAATTTCCTAAATGATCATTTCTTGAATAGCAGTAAGACTAGAATCTAGACACAGGTTTTCTTGAAAGTGAACACGTATTTCCCATGACTACGTGGATTTCTAGTTAGTATGTATAGTTACTGCTCTTTGTCTTCTCTATTGTTAGCAACATCTTTTGTTTTGTCCTTTTCTGGAGCAACTACCTTCTAGTACTAGTGGATAACATCTGTTTCAATCTTTATTTTTTAATACTGAGATTATAAATTCATTTTGTTAATGTGTTTAGTGGGTTTGGGGGAGTGGCAGTGCATGGCTAATTCCAAATTGCACAATAAAAAAATCTTGTGCTTATGGCTTTGGAATAAGTTTTTGAACTTTCATTTAAATATGATGGTGTTTGATGTTCTGAGACTTTTTGAAATATTAGTATGTTTGAACATACTAAGTCTATCCTGAGAAGACCTAATTTGGGAGTAGCTAGAAACTGTCCAATTTTCTATTTCACCCTTCTGCTCAGCCCTCTAGCATTCATTTTAGGCTCTCTGTCTAGTTAAGTTAATGCTCGCTTTCTCTCAAACTTTCTCTTAGAGCTGAGATGGTAATTTAATGTTTGAATTTCAGGAAAAGTGCTTCTACTGGCAGAGTGAATGGAGTAAACTAATATTATTTATAAATAATAATTAAGCTATTTTTGAGTCCTTAGGAGAGTAAACACTTTCTGTGGTGACAAGGTGTAACATTCCCAGAACGATTTGGAAATCCATGCTAGTGAATTATCTCCAAGACTTCTTGACCATTTTTATGTTTAAATGATCTGTCTGGATATTAGTTTCTATTTCTCAACAGAGATTGCATGTAGCTAGGGCTTAATGGCTTTCAGGGACTGTCACCTACAAATTTTCACTGCATCAGTAAATTAGAAGAATCAATGAGTATAATTCCAAAACAATAAATTGCATTTTCCCCTCATCCCTAATTTTAATGTCTTAACTGGCATTATATAACCATGATTTCCACCTCCCGATAACAAACTCTTCTGTTCTCACATTTTGTTGTATTCTTTTATTGTTTTTTCTATGCGTGAACATTCATTTTACCCCAAACTGGAAAATTTAACTTAATTCCTAGCTGCTTTTGCTGTTTTATAGCTTTAAGTAGCACAGTAACTTAGGAAAAGATAGTATAATATCATAATAGTCTGGATTTGATTTTTGTGTTACTAATGTATAGATCATATAATCATGCTCCAGTTTAAATGCAATTCTTTGTTTTTTCCTCATCAGGTGGAGCCTTTGAATTTTTTAAAAGACCACAGTAATCAGATCTACTTGAAAAATTAAGTGAATTGATTTGGTTGGAATGCTCTTTTACCGATTCTTTAACATACAGCCACTAGGTAAGTGAAGCCAAGTGCTTTCTATATGATTTGATTTCAAAGTGATTGGAAAGATTCCTCAAGCACAATATTAAATAAGCTTTGTGTGAAATTTTGACAGTAATTATTTGAGGCTCTTGAAACCTGTGATAGATGTTTTGGATGTTATCTAAATGAAAATATTCATATCTTTATTGCATTTTTGGAAATATCTGATTTTAGCTGAAGATTAGAAAATGTTGTCATTTATAGTTTGAAACCAGATTCTTTTATTTGATATATTAATGATGATTTGCTTGTTATAATCTTGAAGTAATGTAAAAATACCAGATTTTACTTTGAGTAAAGTTTTTATATGTAGTTTTATTGCATTTTGTCAGATTCACATCTAAGATGTAATGAACATTTAAAGTAAATTAGCATCTTTCCATATTTTAATCCATTCTCGTTTTATAGAAATCATAGTTTCTGTAATAAGAATAGAAATCTTAAGGAAGGACTTGATTGATTCAGCTTCCTTGTTGCACTGTGCTGCTGTGGAAAGCTCCTGGGGTTGACAACACATTAGTTACCAGGAGGAGTTTAGGCTTTTAGCAAATTATTGGTGCTGCCAACACAGAATTTAGTGGGAACAGGACTTTGGCTACTGTTAAAATGTCAGTATAGTAAAGCCTGCTCTGTCAAACAGATTTTTGGCATCAGAAATTTAAATGATACTGATTTTAGGGCTTGGTAATTTAAAAAAAAAAATCCAAGCAAACTCATGCTTTAATTAACCCTTTACACAGTAAAGAAAAATTGGGAAAAAAATTGTATTCCTAATTTAGGTCACAAGATTTGAATTTCTGAAATTCTAAATGTTATTCATGATTCTAAAATTGTACAGCTTGTTACTTAATTTTCCTCCAAATAAACTGGAGCTATTTTAAAACCTGATGAATGATAATGAACAAGAGAGGAAAGTGTCTAATCATCTGGGAAGACAGCTTCTAAACCAAACCCACTAATAGTGTCTGCTTCACCTGTGAACATCTTAAGACAAGATGATGTCAGATGGTTTTTTAGTGATAATGTTGTACAGTTTATGCAGTGCCAACGACTACCCTAAGCTTTGTCTAAAATAATCTCCCTTGAGATAACTGCCTAAGAACTTGATTTGCTAGTGTAGCTTTTGAGCATCCAGTGAGTATAGAAATATCAAGTGTGGACATTCCAGAGACCCCTTTTCATTTGGCTTGTAAGGTTCATGATTCATTGTTTATTTGCGACCAATAATTTTCATTGTTATGGGCACATGGTGCCGTTTGGAAAAAGTTTTGGATAATTAAAGGGATATAAGGCAGTTAGACAAAAAACCCATTAGGAAGACAGATATTTAGAAGTGTGAAAAGCAAGGCCCTAATTTTTTCAGTAGCTATAATAGATGTTAGAAGATGAAAATTAATAATCCGAATCACTAACTTAAATGTCTTTGTTTGCCACATTTAATTTTCCATCTACTCAGAAGTTTGGCTTTTACAGTTATTTCCAAAGTACCCTTAGTGTTAAGTGACATCTAAATTGATGGTGCCTAATTTAAATTATGTTCAAGCAACTGTTTTATCAGTGCCTCCTGAGAATGGACATGGCCTGGGCATTGAGTGCAGATGGCCTTCTTGCTTATTGCACTGTGAGTTCTGGACTCCTCTGGTTGAGTCAGCTCATTGGGGTCACTGTGCTTTGAAACAATTGTTTTGCATTAAATAAGGATGCTGCTTAGTTCATAAGGCTCTATGAGGATTAAATACCTGGCAAGTACTAGGAGTTCATAGTAGTGGTTATGATGATGGTGACTAATAGGGGTAATAGTAATTGCAATCACTGGTTAAATGTAACCAGAATTATATTTCATTTACCATGCGACTGATTCTTTAGCCTGTCAACATGGTCTTTACTCAAAGAGCTGGGTATATTTTCTCAATTAAATCAAATACTTATTTTGGTAAGGAAGCACTTCATATGGAATTGGTAAGCATTTTCATGATGCGTACGGAATACATAATCGGCAACTTCTTAGTGACTTTATCAATGAACCAAGTCCTGTGCATTAGCCCCAATGAGGATTTTTTCCAATATAACTTTTTTTTACAAATAATACATTTTAAAAATGTGCCCAACTCCTCCCACCACAAATTGGTAGTAAATAGAAAACAGTTTGTGAAGAAAGGAATGTTCTCATCCATAGAATATTCCTCCTTTTATGATACTTTTTGAAAAGTTAGTAAATACAAATTATTATTATTTTTATTTACAATAATGTTGCTTTGCATGTTCTGGCATTTTCCTTCAAGGAGTGAATGCTTTTGACTGGTCTTGACATTATTCATTTTAAAGTGGTATTAGCTGGAGTCTGGGCTTTTAAACACATGGGTGATCAGATTTATATGCTGTCATTACATTGGATATATTTATTTAGCAATTATGTAAGTGACATTCCTTCCTACAAAAAGAAGGTGAAAATTATTAAGAATCTCATAAATTTGAAAATATTGGGTTAAAGAGCAGTAATTAATTTGCTGAGAATTATATAATTATTACTGTTAGTAATTTTTGGAGTCAGACATCACTGAAATCTTACTTTAAATTAGGAAGTCCACAATACATAATACTATGATCTGTGGAAATTGCTGTATTTTGTGATTTCCTCAAACCTTTTCTTCATCCATTTATCTCTCCTTTCTCTTTGATATGCCTTTATATGCTTTTCTTATTATTACTTATACCGATTAGGAAAATGAGAAGGAAGAAAACCCTTTTAATTCATTCTATTTGGTTACATTTTAGCTGGTCTTATAACGATTTGATAAAGGTGCAAATTAGATTTTCTTTCTGTTATCTCCGGGTGTACTATAACTTCTGCCATCACAGATCATTCATAGTAGACCTTACAAGTTTCAGTATATTGTGGCCTTCAAAATATTTCCTATTATACAGGGTTTCCTTTTATATTTTTATAGCTCTTCAGATGCATACAAATCTTCTGTTTAGTTCCTTGTATTTTAAGATAACAGAAGAGGGTATCAGTATTTATGTTTGAGTATAATATTTACAAACTGATGTGAAAATGTGGACTTTTATGTATGCTCTAGATTTCTTCTGGCCTCCTTACAAAGACTGCCCTTTGTTTTGCTATTCTAGCTTAGGTGAGTGGAGCCCATTACTGTTAGCTTATTTGAACTATATGGCTTCATTTTTCCAAAATTATTTTCTTATTTTTTCTTATTCACAATTTGACTCCTCTTGCTTTGTTTTCAAGCATTTTACCTGGCTATACCTTCATTCATTCATGCATTCAGTAACTTTTCATTCACATATTCATCATTCCATCAGTTAGTATTAACTAAATCAGTAGTATGAGCAAATCCCATTTTGTTTCACAAGCATGCTCTAGCTATCTGAAACCCTGACTGAAGGCTTCTTTCATATCATTTCATAGTATTTCCTTCCGTCTATCCTTCCTGTCCCCTTCAGTTTGCAGTATAGGATCGCTGTGTGAAGGAACCTCTCATTTTTCACTTTCCATGCAAAACCTACACAGTGGATCTTAGTGACTGATCATATGCCTTGTTTCTATGATGGCATGAATTAATATTTGTGTAATGCCCTACTCTGTGTCTACAGATGGCTTCCATGTACATTATATCATTTGAGGTAATAACAATTATGTAGTTATTACTCACACTTTATTTTGTGTGTAACGGACTGGAGGCCTCATAGTGGGGGGTTGGTTTTAGTTGAGTGATTTGCTTAAAGTCACAGCACTAGTGAGTCATAGAACCAGAATCCAACTCTGGTTCTCCCATTTTTGGCTAACATGTCAGTCACCGCCAAGTCACCGGTCTAGTTAACTGGTCTAGTGTTCAAATGTTGGAGCCAAGTGGATGTGGTCACTATGTTCTGTTTATTATGATCCACATAAAGAAATAGAAGCCAGCCATATCAAAATTTGGGGGCAGAATCAAATCTTATAATTTTAGGGAATCTTGAGGTAGTCCAAGGAACAAAATGCTGTAGAAAGATGTGGATTGTAAATTTTCCAGACTTCTGTCAGATATCACCTTCTGGAAACCAAAACCTGATGATACCCACTGTTAAGTTTACCCAGTCACTTCCCTGATCTGAGAATCTCATGATTTCCAAGCAATATCCCTTATGGATCAAGAATCACCTCTGAGTTCTGGTTCCCTTGGCAGTTACAGTTTTCACTATAAATCCTTTAGTTGGATATTGGACAAAGTCCCCCACATAGAGATCTTTATGTTTGAATCTGATATCACATTGACGTCTCACCCATGAATTGCCAAAAGAAAAATTCCCTTTCTTAATCGCATTTTCTACCTCATCTATTATTTGCATTTTGGGTTAATGCACTTTACTGATGTCAGAGTCTGGTTAATAATTTTACTGTAGCGTTACTTTCTTCATGTTTGAGCTCCTTTGCCTGCATCACCCCTTAACAATTGATACTTCTCTCATGCCACTTTTTGTATGCATTTTTGTACTTGCACATTATAATAATTTACATGAGGTTTTCCTGTCATATGCCTGCACTGTAAGTTGCTTGTTTGTGTCTTCTTTATTCTTAAAAATGGTGATTGAAAAATATAGTAGACATTTAATAAATACTTGTTGAGTTTAATAAAAATAATTGCTTGTGAGTTTTTCTTTTTTCTTTTTCTTTTTTGTTTTTTTGAGACAGAGTTTCGCTCTTGTTGCCTAGGATGGAATGCAGTGGCATGACCTTGGCTCACTGCAACCTCTGCCTCCCGGGTTCAAGCGATTCTCCTGCCTTAGCCTCCCTAGTAGCTGGGATTACAGGCATCCAACACCGTGCCCAGCTAGTTTTTTGTATTTTTAGTAGAGATGGGGTTTCACCATGTTGGCCAGTCTAGTCTTGAACTCCTGACCTCAGGTGATCTGCCCACCTTGGCCTCCCAAAGTGCTGTGATTATAGGTGTGAGCCACTGCACCTGGCCAAATTT